TTGAGTGATAATCGCAGATACAACACGAATTCTTCTAGATCCTATATTTATTTATCCAAGAAAAAACTCAGTATTCTTACGTTACTTAGCCTCATTATAACGCAATCCAGAATATTACAAATTTTAAATATCGTACAATCTACTAAGATTTATACAAAGCAAATGTATCTAGTCAAATATTCATTAGATCTAATTGGAATGATTTTATAGATTATGATAAATAGCCATTATACATAACATAAAATGGAAATTAAGCACATAATTTAGATTTTCCATAAAAGATGACGGTCAGCCGATTACATTATACTGAACTGATATTATGCTAATAGTGAACAGGTACCAAAATCCCCTAAACTCTCCACCTCCCTTAAAACAAAATCATTAAAAGATTGAGCAGTGACACTGCGAAAACAGAATATGGTAACCAAGCTTTTTTTTCCTTTATAGTCAAATTTGACGTTGAGTTGTATCTAATCATTGTGCAAAACTTTATGAAATGCATTATAAAACGTGCTACAAATTACTAGTTCGAGTAATAGTCAATAATGTCTGAAAATACAACAACCTCGACGCGTGAACAAAAACAATGCTCTGAAATTCGCTGTTTAAATCAAGAGCGAAAATATCCAATAGTTATAAATGCAAGTATTAAAATCACGAGTAATCAAAGGAAGAAAACCGATTATTTTTGCCTACTATGGCAACCAAGTATATAGTTAAACTCTATCTATTTCCAATGTCGAAATGCATCAATCTACTAAGAGATATTAGAAAAAATATCCACTCTACCGTGCTTAAGTATTGGCATACTTGTATATGGTCAAAATGTTAAGTTGGTGTAGTGGTAAGGGTCAACTATTTCTTTCGATAGATTTTCTTCATATCAAATAGTCACCAGATATATATATATATATATATATATATATATATATATATTGGGGAGGAAATGAGAACTTTCTTTTAAAAAAAACCATAAATAGGAAGTGAACCGCAGTCATCTTTTAAGCATCAGAAAACATACAACTGAAGATTATTATAACATAATCAATACTAAAACTATGAATTTAATCAATAATAACAAATAATTTGTTGTTGTTAACGAGGACACAGTTCAATTAATAAAGCAGTCTACCCTAAAAGTTGTTTTGTCTTGCAGTACCCAAAAACATTTTTTTGGGAAGTATTTTGTTATTAATAGAATATCTTATAGTTTCATGTGGTTAAGTGATCTATGCATTTGTCTTATTGTATTGTTCGAAAGAGGTTTGAAATACAATCAGCTTGGTACGATTTGATTAACATGAATAGACGATTTTAAATTAACTTAATTTTTTCACGTGTTGTTTAGTCTATGAACACTTTTTTTTTAAAACGAATGAAAAGTTATATTAGCTTACACCATTATTTTTGGCTTAAACAATTTATTAGATAAAATAGTAACATGATGATGAATGGGATTAAGATTCTTTCGTCTTTAATACCATTGTCTTAATTATCAGCTTTGATTTCCCTCGCCATAAGTGATTCGATGTAAACTGTGAAAACTATGGCAGGTGTATATTTGTCCATGATGTTTGCAACTATATTAGAAACTAAACTGAAGTTTGTTGGCTTTAATATTTTGATTAATTAGAATAAGAACACGCAATGAATTATAAAACAACTAGATAGTCAAAATAGTAATTTTAAAATGCTTTTACTTAAAATAATAGTAATGCACGTATTAAAAATGAATGGATAATGCATTCATTTAATACCGTAATTCCAAGAAATTTGATTAAACAAAGTCGAACTTTTAGAAATGAAGACATTGAGAGATCCAAAGAGAATGAAGCAGTAATAACAAATTTTAGATTGAGAATATAATTAAAAATATAAGAACTGAGAATAGCATAAGGTTTTATATGACTGGATGGACAAACTAAATGACAGCCAAATAATAACTAATGAACTTCGTAAAACTTAAGGGTTGACTAAATTTTTTTCGACAGGAATGTAATGCTAATCATAAGCGACATGACAGATTTATACAGTTGAAAACTATAATACGTCAACTAGGTATAACAAACACAAACGTTGATTTGTGCAAGTCCGAAATGATAAAAACAAAATGGGAAAAACACGAAACTTAGACAAGATGAATACAAGTCGATAACGTAAAATATATGAATACTGATAAGATTTCTCAAATTATTAAGATAAGTTTCAGTTGACTGAAAATGTGGAACTATATCTATTTATCTTTTGTTAGAGGTGGTTTAGAAAAAAGTTTTTGTTAGAAATATTATTAGCTTGTACAAAAATGTTTAAAAACATTTCAAACTGTTTTAATTAGGTATATCTATAGATGAAACCATTGATATTCATTCAAACTATATACAACCGATAGTAGCAAGCGACTATTATCACGAAGATAATTTTTTGGTATCAATCAAATGATCAATAAAGAACTATGCTTTATGATTTTTATTAAAGCCTAATTTCCAGCACATTTAGATGATCAATATACATGCACACAACACCTTTGGATACATAAATCATAAAGTTTTCACCAACCCTTATGAAGCAAGGTTTACGTTTGCCTTAAATAGCTGTTTGCCAAATAAGCCAAACTATCAAATAAGAAGCAAAAACACTATCATATTGACCTTCAATTTTCAACTGCTCACAAATTGGACTGATATAATTAAAAGAAAGATTAATACCTTCAACATTAAATAGATTAGGTGATTAAATAGATTAGGTTAATTCAATGCTATTTGGCAGTATTTTACTTATTTCCGATAAAGTGATCTAATGAACATTCTTCTATAAAGATTGGTCATTAGAGCAGCCTCGCGTTACTTCAAATTTAGATTCAACCTGTCAAATATAACAGCAGTTATGAACTCAAAATGTTAATGTGAAATAAGTGAGTGCTTCATCATTGTTTTTAGAATAAGGACTATAAGATTTTCTATTGATTTTACATGACCTTATTTAGATTTCTACATAAAATGCATAATCCTAGGTGTGACTTTTTCTTAGGCCAATCCAGGAAAATGTTACGTATAATTAAAAACAAAGGAAAGCATCTCTCCAAGCACTATACAGCATGAGTGTAATGTACTTATTTCCTCGTAATTATTTAAAACTTGAGCTAAATATGGAAGATTAGGATTTTTCAAAATATTAATGCTATGATTAAAGTGCTTTTTACTTAATCAATTATAGTCAAGGTCAAAGAACATGATATTAAAAAAATGATGGCGAAACAGACGACCAACCGAGAATGGAATATATATATATATATATATATATATATATATATATATATATATATACAGGTCACCTTGGTTCACTACTCTTTGAATGTGGAATGGGGCTCTCTATACAACTATTGGTGACACTGTAACATGCATCGATGTATGATACAAATGAATTGGTGGGCCCGTAGATCGCAAATAAACGCCTTATCTTTTCGTATGATACAAAATCAAAGGCCTTGGATACGTTAGCAGCACATGTTGAAAGATATTTGAAACCAAGATTTTTCTACAACGATGGCAGTGACTATCATTACTTCTTCAAAACACCCATCTCTTTCCTAGGTAATTTGTGAATTCAGATTCCGAACAAGTTAGCACTACCTCGCAGAAAAAAAACACTATCCGGATATAGAGCTAAAACCGACGTAATAAAAATGAGTTAATAAGGGAGTTGGAAAACCTTGATTCCAAACCAATGGTGGACATGGGCTCTAGGATCCTGAAGGAACATTTTATTTATTTATTTGAACACATGAATATTGGTACAAGAGAGCGCCAATATATATGCGCCACACAAAACAATGAGAATTCGAAGAGAGATAGAAAAAAAACTAAGGAGCGCAATAGAAAAGGACAATAATAACGAAGAGATTGGTGTAAGGAAGTGTGGTAGTAACGAGGGAACGCAAAGTTACAATCGGAAGAAATCTTTCAGGTAAGGGAGACACAAACACTTTTTACGAAGAAAGTAAAAGGTTACAGCAGGATCACCACTGGCTTCTATTCTGAGCCATATCTGATAACGTCTCTAGCCACTGTGTTGCACCATCTCTCAGACCCCAGTTAGGGAGTCGTGAACGACCGACATAAGCCAGTCCAGATAGGTACTCCAAAAGGAGCGGCAGTCTTGTACACAACCACGCCAGCGGTAGCTGATCGCGATATGATCAATCTGAGTCCAGGCTTGAGATGCAGAGAGAGGACGCCAGGTGGCACATCGGCGATGACTGTGCCGGAAGTTAGTGCTAGCCAGAAACAGGTTGTGGTCTGTGCACAGTTGCAGTAGACAGTCCCCGTTATCTGTTCTGCGATCAACAAGTTTCCATCGGCCACCTAAACGATTCTTTTCTGTGCCTAGACGCCCGACCTGAGCATTCAAGTCCCCGGCTAGTACTACAATATCTGTCGAACTCACTTTCTGGAGAAAAACAGTTAACTGGTGGTAGAATTCATCCTTGATTGCATCCGGGCTGCAATCTGTCGGGGCATGGGCGGAGATGACGAAAAGACATCGTTTCTCACGCCGATTTCTTCTCACTTTGATGGAACTTTCTAATCTAACAGCACATAATTGACTGTTAATTGGGATCCAATCGATTAGTGGTGCCTCAGCTCTAGCGCTTAGTGCGACACCAACGCCAGCAAGACCAGACGAAGATGCCACAGGGTCTCCCGATAAACGCACGTAAAACAAGCTTTTTGAAGCGAAAGATGGAGAGCGAATTTGTAGTACTTCGCCAGAGTCTTGAATACGGGTCTCGGATAGACAACAAACATCGTGTTATGGCTTTAAGTTTGCTGTCGATTTTTACCCTGTGCTAATTGTTGTGTTCTTGACTGAAGAGATTAGAGAACAGCGTATTTATCGATCAATTACAGTGAGACGTAGACACGCACGGACGGCCTAGAGTCTCGATTGGTCCCACTTCCCTGTCTAGCCCAGTTAGTTGAGTCCAGAACACAAGTCAGCCTCGGAGATATGAATCATTATATTTCAAACATACTTTGTTTATATACCAATCAAGCACACCACATCGTACCATAAAATAGAAAACAACATTTTGTACAATATTCAACAAGTGAACAGATATCGACCAATAGAAAATGTCCATTTAAAGTCCAAGGACACCATTGGACTTAACATGATAATTATTGGTCTATTCCTCCGCATCCACAACACCTCCCCTTTTTTTTGAAGATCCGGAGTTGATATCCGGATTTTGAAATTTTCTGGGTACATCCTCCCCCACGAAATAATGTTGGGTCCTCATATCCCCAAGTTAAAATTAATTTGACTCTATTTAACACATAATTGTCACATTGAACAGAGAAGTCACTGAAAGTGATTAAATAGTGGGGAACAATGTCACTTGATATGAGGTCATCAACGTTTGATTCTTCTGGAACATTATCATGGGATTTGTTGAAAATCTCATTTGTAAACAGTTGATCACTGAGATAATCAACATCTATCAAAATTGTATTAGATTTCTGATCATCATTTGATGAATCTAACACATTTTCTGGTACAAGAGGATCTAGATAATAAGATTCGTCAGAATCTCCTGTTGTTGAATGATGAGGACCATTTGAAACAGCTGGATTCAGTGTACTACACGATTTGTTCCCTGTTCCGTTGTGGGCGGGTACTGCAATTAATTTATGAGCATTTAATGAGAGATCTTCCTGTGAGCTGGGTACATCATTGTCTGCACACGTTTCAGGAACAGTGGGATTTGAACCCACGACAGGGAATGTTTCGGAATTTGACATTTCTGGACGACTGGGCGGATCATGAATAACTTTTTCGTTTACATCACTGGTCGTCCGGGATTCACAGAGGCTTTTATAAGCAGCTTCATATGTTCTGCAGTTGTTTTCCAGATCAGTCTGCAGATGAGAAATGAACTTATCAACTTCTGTTGCATTTCCGAAACATGGAAAATTTACCAACAGTGTGCGTAAATTTCCTAAAAAATTCAACTGGCTATTTTTGAAGCACTGCTGTTGTTGCTCAAGTAGAAGCTGTAATTGATCGGAAAAGGTAGTCTTTTTTTTCAGCACCTGCAGAAGATGTTGGCCTTGCAACAACAGCTATTTGTAACAGTTTTGGGCAGACTTTGCATTCAAGCAGAAAATAAGAAATCTATATATCATGCAGATAATGGTGCAGTAATGGACATTTCAGAAGCATATCCTGTGTAGGATTCAAATCCCTCTATACCAGAAGGAAAACGTAATATTGGTAACGTGTCCAGCTCAGAGCAAGAAGATGTTGTGCTAAATGCACATGAAGTTGTGACAATACCAGATGATCAGGAGCCAGATCCTGTAGATGATGCCCAGAGTCCAGAATCAAATGAAACACTACTGGTACTGTCTAGCTGCGAAAATAAACGTCAGCTCGAACAAAATTGTGGTCCACGTGCTGTTAGTCGAGAAAGCTATGGTGACTCGTATTCAGAAAATAACTGGAGCAACACGATGAACCAAATTGTACTGGATGTTACTCAAAATCACCGGAAGACAGAATTTTATATTGAGTCAACTTATCCCATTTCTAATGACAGTGTACCAGATATTGATTGTCAGAATAATGCATATGATTTTGATGAAACTTCTTATAACAATGAGGGAAATATGTCAGCTGAGTCGAATGATGGCCAAAAATCTAATTTAATTCTGTTAGACGTTGACTTTCTTAATGACTCGTTATCTGCTAACGAGATTCATAATGAATTTGAAAATAATGAACTCAGATCAAAGGTCGTTCATCATCATCTAGTCATTCTTAGTGGATTCTCCAGTCAATACGAGAAACATGGTTTAAATAAAGTCCTACTAGTTGTAATTTGGAGCCATAAGGACCCAACATTATTTCGAGGAGGAGGAGAATGTTGAGGAATTTAAAGTCACATATAATTCTTTTTTTTTTAATCAGAATCTAAAGTTGGAATTTTCAAAAACAAAATGGGGGAGGTGTTATATCCGGTGAAGATTAAATAACAGGTAACTTCCGAGGACTATTCATGGACTAATATTCTATAAATATTCTTATGGTATAACTATTCAACGATTACATTATGTATATTTATATCCCTCTTATGACAAGCTCCATTTTGGCCTATAATTTATTATTGTACGATTTACGGTTCTTAAGTTATGTTCAGTTTATTAACTACTGCCTCCCACATTCACAGCCACTTTTTGGGCTTATTTGTGTACAAATATTATTTCCTATTTTATGGTACGTTGCGGTCTGTGTGATTGATATATAAACCAAGTATGCCTGAAATAAACGATCTGCTCTGATTCGAAGCTGGTATTGTGTTCTGGACTCAAGTGGAAGGGCTCGTAGGACATAGGACCAATAAGGACGCTAAACTGCCCACACCGGTTGGACGTCATTGGTTGGCCTAGTGTGAAGATTCGTATAAGTCGTATTCGGATTGGTAGATAAGCCGTGTGATCGAAAAGTCAGACATCCAAGGTCATAACACATCGATATTAAGACTTTCTAAAGACATAGTCAGCCCTATCTGTTGTTCGACCTGCATAAGTGTGCGAACGTTGAGGGCAGCCAGTTTGAATGGTGTACGTGGTTTCAGAAAAACTGCTCCAGTACTCATATTCGGTGGCAACACAATTTTCAACCGGACACTGACTCGAGAGCGTTTAGATAGAGTCGAATTTCCACCAAAGACGAGCCGCTGTAAAAGTATAAAAGAGGGTGAATAATGTGGAAAATAATAATAATAATAATGACAATAATAGTAGTAATAGTAGTATTAATAATGACAATAATTGTAATGATAATAATTTGAATCATTTGATTGTTTTTCGAAGCGAGAAAAGTAATTTCCATAGACATAAAGAGTTCATCATTTGTGTGTGGGCTGTGGTACTGCCCGGGTGCCCAGACCGAACAGGTGATTATCTTAGGGGGCCACACCCCGAGCCTTTGACCTAAAGGTCTAACCCACAAGGCAGTGGAACATCGTAAGGAGATGCAATCCCATGGTCGCCGGTGACCAACGATTGGTTCATACGCCATTTGTTCCCGCAGGATACTGGAGCCCATGTGCGCCATTGGTTTGGAATCCGGTTAAAGCGCCGGACATTCGCTTTTCGTCCTCTCATTTTCGTAAACAACACCCCTGCCACGAGAAGGCAATGAGTAGGACTTCCCTGGCAGAGGCTGTATACGCGTGGCCGTGTGAGAGTATTTCGAGAGGGAGAGCGGACTCTCCCCTCTCGGCCGTACCAGGGCATTCGGGGACAAAATGCCATATGAACCAATTATTGGTCACCGGCTACCATGGGACTGCATCTCCTGACGTTGCTCCACTGCACTGTGGATTAGACTTTTAGGTCCCCTACAAAGTCTCGAAGGTCATGAAGTGATTGAGAGAAGGGAAAAATAAAATACGTAGAGCACTTTAGGAGGTTTGAATCCACGGCCCATGTATTCCAAGAATCTAAAGCGGTTAAAAAAACTTCATATAACGAGGAATAACCGAGTAACTAATGAGCTAGAAGGCTGTTTGAGAGAACTTGAAAGATGAGATGTGATCGATGTGATCATTCGTTCAGATGGGAGACTGAAAGCTTCCTGATGTGATCGATAATTATGACACAGGAATTTAGTCTTTAGCACAAAAGTATGTTTAGAAGTCGTAGTCTTAACCGCAACCCTATTCCGACATTCATCGAATATGTTCATGATGAGAAGTTTGATTGACAGCTGGTCAGAAACTGCGATGATCAGTATTGAAGACAGTAAAATGGTTGAGTGGACGATAATTGGTTCTCTGATGTTCTGTGGTGTATATATAGATTTGTATTGCTGTGGTGCATAGTATGATGATATAGGTGAAATGCTGCCTAGTGTATGGGATTCTTGGTTATGTACAATTTTATCGCAAGTGGTGCAAGTAGTGATGTGTGACACTATAATCTATGGGGATACAATAATGCTATCTAGACAGGAGAAAATAGTACTGAGGGTAATGGATGACCGTTCAACGAGCTCTGAATGGGTGATATTTGGGAAGTGGTCTATACCACTTTGGATCAGAGGGCCACATATTGTTAAGGACAAGTCTGTAGGCGTTACGGATTTAGGCTCAAATGATGAGGAAGTCTGTAAAGGATAAGCGTGAGTTGAGAGTAGACCTACAGCATCGATAAGCTGAGGTTGCTTGTCATATGTTCATGATATCCGACCACACAATAACGTGCGCACTTTAATTTTTATTTCGCTGGTCATCCAAATGGTTTATTGTGACTTTAAAGGGCGCTCATAAAGCCAGTATTTCGGAAGCAGCCAGAGACTCTATAGGCCATGTATATAAGTAGCCATCTCTGAAGGTGTCGTTTCAGCTGAATATTATGTTGATCCAAGCTGGGGTAACACTGAAGATATTCTAGTGGCTTCCTCAAGATGGTAGGAACGATGTGAGGAATGGGGATTGGATTAGTAGGTATGAATGTAGTACGTATCAAAATTTAGAAGCAAAGTAGACAGAAGTGTAATGCTGCAAAGAATAATATCTATCCTTAATGCTCAAAGTGAAAATGTCATTACTATCCTATGCATGCAAATCCAACTAATAAATTTTAAATGAAACGAAGTGTTATAGAAAACGTATTCCCAAATATTGGAAAAAAAATAGTCAGAATAGTATCTGAAGGTCCACTATTGATTGGAACAGTCAATCGCTGCTTCGAAATGCATGCGAATAATTTATTCAAGTCGACTTTAATGAACAGATATCATCAACTTAATTTTCTTGTACTTAGTCGGCTACACACAAATCTGGTAAAGTTAAAATTATTGTTGTCAGCCTTTCCAGTTTTTTTAAATTAATTTTAATTAACAAATAAAATATATTGTTGATAGAATATTGTGACAAATATGCTTTTTCTTCTAGCAAAATACTGCCACTTCCTGTAGGCCGACTATACAATAGAAGCGATACATAATGATCACTATAGACAAAGAGTAGTCGTAGTTGCATTATTAACTATTTTGTTAAAACGTTTATCTTCCTTGAAATTTATTTTTATTAGTACAGTAAAATCAATTGAATTGTTTGACAGTTACTCAGTAAATCATATGAGTCTACGCTGTGGCAGTGTGATATTGTGCTGAGTTTTGAATGACTATTAAATTAAATCTATTTTTTACATAAATCTCAGAGAATATGATGAAGTTTTCTAAGCCAAATGAACAAAACTACACAAATTAGCCTTATTATTTGTAGGCTTCACAATTGATTGATCACTGGGTGGTGATCAATCTCATGCTTGTCTAGTCCTTATTAGTGCAGATCGAATGCTATCGATCATGTTGCAATGTGGCCACCAGTCTAGGTGACTCGACACTGCGGGCACTATGTATTGAGATTAGATGGTGGTTGGAGGTAGTCAACAGGAAACCCTGGACCCGGGTTTCGTGCTACTTGGCACTCGTCAGCAAGGTGTACCTGTAATCTTGAGGGAACTGGTGCTCCCTGGCGGATTCGATCTCGTGTCACCCAGCTTCACAGTCAGAGACGTTACCACTGAGCTATCCGAGCAACATGATCGATAGCATTCGATCTGCACTAATAAGGACTAGACAAGCATGAGATTGATCACCACCCAGTGATCAATCAATTGTGATTACATCTCAGTCCTACAGGAGGTCAGTCACGGCTCGGATAGCTCAGTGGTAACGTCTCTGACTGTGAAGCTGGGTGGCACGAGATCGAATCCGCCAGGGAGCACCAGTTCCCTCAAGATTACAGGCACACCTTGCTGACGAGTGCCAAGTAGCACGAAACCCGGGTCCAGGGTTTCCTGTTGACTACCTCCAACCACCATCTATTTGTAGGCTTAAATGTCATCTCAAGAATTGTCAAACAAATTTATAATTTTAGTTACCACTTTTAAATAAAGAACTGCTAAATACAATCCTAGACAGATAGCAAGAAAAAAGAGAAACTGCACAGAAAAGAACTAAGAGTAAGACAATATGCTTCGTCATGTAATTATTTCAAAAGAAGGTAACCTGCGACTAGACTTTGGACACTGATTTACTGGTATAGACGTTGCACCAGCTATAACTTCCCTGTAAGATCAAATAATACTTGTGACATAAAAACCGAGTACGAGAGATTGTCTTTAACTACTGGATTTTATCGAAAGATTTTATTAAAACACATCGAAATATAAGGAATATTATGTTTCTTAACATGAACTACCTTATTGTAGCAAATCTATAATGCTTGGAAATCCCATGGATGAAAATTTATTTTAAAGATATATACTACTTATTTCATGTTTTCAGCCAACACTTTACAAACCGAAGCCTGGGAGATCATTGAGATGAAACCATGTCTGTTCTGTATGTAGGAATGTGAACAGACACGAAGTAGTGATAGGACCAAATTTAAAAATCCAAATTTCGTAATTTATATCATCTGTTAGGATGAATTCAGAATCAGTCAATTACACTGTATCTAGGCCTAGTATCACGAAATAAATAATGTTTAAGTGAAAATAATCCCACAAATAATAATTATAAGTTGCTAACTAATATTTTAAAGATTTCCTTACTACCCCCACACTTTCTAAATGAACAGCACTAGGATTATAACTTGTCATGATAGTTACACAGAAGAATATAAAGTGTCGTTACGACACCTTAAATTGGTTTTCTCATTGGAACACTAATGTGCATTTCTAGCTATAGAAGTTGATGGGAAGTAATTGGAAATAATATTCTTCGTCCATATGTGTGTTTTTATTATGATAGGAATTTTCAAACGATTAAAATCGTAGAAAGAAACAAAAGGAATTGATAGTTTAACTACATCATTTGCGATAAGTTGACCTAAGATCTCATTAAATAACCTCTAATGATTAGAAATGATCAACCAAAACAAAGAGTAGGGTAAATATAATAAAAGGGTATTGATTACAGTTAAAAACAGATGATGAATTTCTAGTTCAGGCGTTGAGACACCAAGAAAAACAAAATTAGAAATTAGTATTTGGTTACTAACCAACCCAATGCTTCAGTTATTTGTATTAATCGAGGTTCACCTACCAAGAAATGTAAATTTTATCCCATCAGCCAAGTCAAATGACCTTCAAATAATTATTTTTAGACTTTGTTTTAAATTACTCGACAAAAGAACTAATAATCCGTTTTCCTAATTGCTTCTACCCATACTAACAAGATATTGTTCAGAGGACTGAGAAACCCAATGAATTCCCAAAGGTTCGAACTCGTATCATAGTAGCGATTAGAGATGCTACTGCTAAAAAATTCAGTGAGAGTAATTCTATCTGGTTGCCCTCAATCATGCGATGCATACTGTATATCAGATTATCGAAGCGACTTCTTGGTTAAGAGGGCTCGATTATCACCAGATGAACTACTGATTTCAATAAAATTTACTCACATCGGTTTAGGCAGCCGTGTTATATCACAAGCTCTCATCAACAGGTCCTAAAAATATATTCCCCAGGTAATGAGCGATACAGTAAAGGCAGTTAGAATTTAAAAGCCAACAGACGTTTGCATAAGAGTATCATATTCGTGATTGTTAACAGTCATATTTAAAAGTCTTATTATATGCTTAGAATGTGGGAACCAGTCCAATCAAGGATGGATGTTTCGCTTTATTTTTGGACTCGGTTAGATTTATCGTCATTTGCGTTGATTTAACCGCTGAGATTTGAATGCAGAATTGATTATTTCAGGCCACAATCTGTTTTATACTACTGAGTTAATCACATAATCAATATTATGGCTTCACCACCAACTGACTTCGAATACCCGAAACATATTATTGATTAATGCATAGCCAAAAACGTTCCTCATGATGGACAAAAAAATAATAACATACTTTAATTACTGTCAATCACTTATATATAAGGATATACGTGGATATATATTCACAAGTATCTCTACAAGTAAATTTAAAGCAAAAAAATGGGAATTTTCTTCAACAATCTAACCTCAGGAATATATCTTGGACGTGACGGATCACATTTTCGCTTCTCTACAGACTCAGCAATCACTTCAATACGTCCTCTGTCCGTACTACACACAAGTGCATTGAGAGAATCACTGAAATCCACACTCTATTAGCCAATGTACAGATGAGTACATGGAAAAAATAAACAAAAGAAAAGTAAATTTCGAGATAATAGCAACAATGTCTTTCGAAAACTTGCAAAAACAGAAAGAAAACAACAACTATGAAATAATCAATGTGGTTAGAGTTTTCACAACAACGAAACACATGAAACATGAAAAACACATTTATTTATTTGTGATCAAATCAACCAATCATAAACAAATGTATACATCCAGCTAAATCAATTTACAAATCCGCCTACAAGTTGAATTTTGAATATCTATGTACATAATAAAAATGATTAACGATAAAAAGAAGTCAATTGCAACAATTGAAAAGAATTTCATCGTGCAATATGTCAAATCTTTGATTTAATGTATTCTGTAAAGCTTCGAAAAAGACAATAAATACACCATTATGATATCACTTTCATTTGATATTGGCAGTCTACTCATGAGTACAGTATGATTAAAATAAATCGGATTCTTGAACTTCTGGTGATATATACATAAATATATATTCGGACTTCGAATTCCATCCCAGTAGATAATGTTTGCATCTCTTTACTAATAAGCGTAAACATATAGGATATAAATATCCTCATTCCTTTATAGTTTTTGTATAGACTAGCATCGTTCGTATTCAGCAAACAAGTGAACAACTTATGAGTTGTGGTGTGAGCCGAGTGTAACTATGTAGACTGGCAAACACTAATATAGTTATAAGATTAAGGTTAATAAGAATTCAGTAAAATATCTCAGGCTATATCAGTGACCTATTTTAATTTAATTTACAATAGATTCTACGTATTCTGTATAATATTAATCTCCACTACACATTTTTAAAGAAATATCTCAACCCTACGAGGAGCAACATCATGACAGATGTTGTGTTTAATGTTCAGTTTCCGTTCAATTTTGAGATATATTAACCTGATATATTTCCCTAAAATTTTCAATAAATTAATCGACAGTAACAAACATGAAGCAAAAGCTTGCTTACCATTGAAACAATTCAGAATATTAAATTAAGTCACTCAGAAATTTGATTAACGTGAAAGCTATTGAATATTATTGAGCACAATGTAGTTGTTTCTTTTTAGTTAAGAACTGTTCAGCAATAAAAGGAGGCTTGCAGGGTATCATACAAGCAACTAAGCATTCAGGTATTAAATAATAATTATATGATTCATATCTAGCCAAACAACAGTAAAGTGAGACAAACATTCATTTGTATATGCTTGTAATTCCAACTTCGTCAGAAGAATCAGACTTCCTTATAAGACGGTCACGATATTTATGTTAACGGGATTTACTAAGCAGTATTACATTATCATTTGCGCTACAGTACATGACTTGAATGAAGTCGAAAAGTGCAAATCAATGAATGGAGGTTCAATGGTTAAATGTTAAGTTTCGCAACACAGAAAACTCAGGTTCTGGATCTAATTTTCGACTGTCAGCTTTCACTCTACTTGACGGTTGAACTCACCCGTAACAACAATTTAGTCCGGGTGAACTGGGTGAAATGCCTTTTTTTAAGACCGTATAATATCATGAACGCTGGTTGAACGGGAATAAAATAAAACCTGCTATCCCTATAATGTTAATGTTATGCATTAAGATGACAATACAAGGATGAAGTTATACTACCAGAGAGATTTAAATTTAGAACGATAAGGTTTCCTCGAACAACCATCATCCCAGCTATGCTACAGATTTACATTAAGGAGGATGGTTCCCAATCAAAAAGTTTACACTACACTGAACTCTCCAGCTTTCTGTTTTTGATGAAAATATGTTTTAACAGGGAGAGAAAACTCTCCTAATTTCGATCACAAAATTCATGTGACCATCTTCAAATGAAAATAATTTGTCGTTTGTGAATAAATGACACTCAAATATTATTCCAGACGTTTTAAGATCTCTTTTTCTGCATACATGGTTACCACAAAGCAATTGTCATTTCAAAACTGTTAACATCACAAATCCTTCTCGTTTATCAACCTGATAGTTCACTTTGTGCCACTATTTGACTGTTATCCTGTTTGATTTTTCCTTCTGAAACTACTATCCCATGATTTCGGATTTTTAATAATTCTCTGAGTAGATATATAATTCCTATTTAGACATTGAAAACATGAAGTTCAGCGAAGGGATTGCTTTTCAACGAGTTTATTATCAAGCTGAATAATCGTATAAATACATAAATTTTAAAGTTTTAATTCCATAAGTACATATAAGCAATGAATAAACATGATGATGAAAGTAATTTATAAAGCAAGTTACAATCTATTAAAAGATTATATAGGGAAATTATCATTGGGAAAGGATGGCTCAGCATGATAAAATAAAATGTTGAAACAGAAATGAAATGTAATCGGAATGACCGTGGAAATAAAAACAAACCAGTTGGGAGTAGAAGATTTAAGGGGAAGATGGAAGGTGAAGCAGTAAAGGAACAAGAGTATGAAAAAGAGAGAAGAAAATTTCTTAATACATTAAGACCATGGTAGAAGAAGAGGTTGTACCAGTCTCTTTTGCACACACAATTCTGGTTTTTCCAGATGTATGGCTATTGCTTCGGCAATGCAGAGAAGATGCAGTCTAATTGTCTTAAGAAGACTTCTACTTACCTTGTAGATGACTTTGAACGCAGAGTCTGTCTTGATTGAATGACCTGTGTTCACAAGTTAAAAACACTAATCACAGTAGTCTACTTCAAAAGTACTACTATCCATCTATATGATCAAAAGAATTATATCGTTAGAACCAAAAGTTAGAAATCTTAATGAACTATATAAAACTTATTGCATCAAACGCCTATTTAACATACATTTATTTTTAACACGTCATGATTTTTAACTTTGCAGTTTTCCATCGAACGTTTACCACCATCACACAAATAGTCCGTACACAAGGACTTACAACATGAGTAGAAGTAATAGTCTTGTACATTATGAATTACTAAAACTGCTTCCATAAACACAATAAGGGATTGAAGAATAAAGCAGACCAGATATCTAATATCCATTACAAAATCAAGTGAAAGATTGTGAAGTTAAAAAACTGTATCATTGGTATATATATAGGATATAAAATCATCGACATCAAAGTGGAAGTCCGAAGACGTTGAGACATTGATTCCTGTAAACAATTTAAAACTATCATTTCAAAGACGTGCTTTATACAACCATTTAACTAATTGTTGTAATATACTGCTTACCATCAGTCTGACTGTAAATCACACTTTGCATTATTAAAGATTTATAGCTATAAATGATAACAATTAAGCAGCTTCCTCTACGCTATGGTAAATAATCATGAGTGAATTGATCGACATCTTAATTTGCTCATTTTTTATAACTTAGGTTGAGTTTATACTTTGTAGAAGCTGTACAAGAAACCAGTTCAGAGGCGATTTTTAGCAGTTTTGATCCTAATTTCCGAACGATTTAATAGTATATAATAAAATATTAGAAAACGGTTGCTTGAGATTTTTTTTATCTCAAAAACTCCTCAAAACTAAACTTGAAGTTAAAATTTTTATCTGGAAGTATCATAACATGTTAAGGTGTAAGTTGGGTAACAGGCATTAATGCGTGTAGGCTTGAAATTACAATTGAGCGTTTTGTGTTTGACCGACTGAGTAATTGTTAGTGATGAATTATAAATCCTGAGACAAATGAATGAAATCAGTCATTTATACAAGATTATATTTATTTTATGTCATTAGGCATTTCCAAAATGAGGTTTTCTTACCGTGAGTGACTGGATTCCTAATGGTATTAAATGGCTACAAGCATCAGTTGGTTCAGCAGGTAAATACTGACCAATACAGTTATCCATAGTATCAAATAATGCAGACCACTTGGGAAATTGAGTGTTTTTACATGATGTCGAAGTAAACCACGTTTCACGTGAACCAACTAAGAATTCACCATTACAAATCCACATTCCTTCACGTCCCATAAAACCACGTACTGGATTCCAACTGATTTCAGCTGACTCGGAAGTGAAACATACAGAGTCATTCAAATCCCAGACACCACCGATACGTTCTAAGCCTAAATAATAACAAATAACAATAACATGTACAAAAGTATGATGTGAAAGTTGGATAAATGTTTAACGTCAGAGTTGATGTTTAAACCCTAATGTATATGAATAGAAACAAAAATCTATACGAGTTTTTGGACATCGAATAAGATTACATTGGATTTATGAGATCAAGGTTATTAGGTAGTTGGAAGCATCTAAAGATAGAAACCAGGATCTATCATTGATCTTTCTTTGTGATTCATTAACACGAGCTACACATAAACTTCAGAAAATTCCGGTTTAAATAAACGTATTTCCAATTATTTGATAACAGTAAAAATCTTAATTTGAAAACTACTCCGACAAAATAAACTTAATACTAATATGTATCTAAACACTACCTAAGGAACATTTATACTATAATTCATGGATTTTATAAAAATGAGGGAAACATCTACCTTAATTCTAATTAAGTTTTTCTCGTGGAAATCTGTAGGAATCTATAAATTTTTGTAGCAATAAAAGACAAGCTAATATCCACAGCATCTTTAGGGAGGGTTGTATGTAGCCTATTGTCACACTTAATCATTTGGTTAAACATTTACAAAACTTTTCGTTAGATCAGACGACATGTAATACATAAAGGTGGTCAGAGACTGACGTAAGAGCAGAGATGACCAAGTTTTATAGATAAAACAATGAATTACGAAAAAGAGTACACATGTTAGTGGTAAAAGTTGATAAAAAAAATTCCAGTGTCAGTTAAACATACTGATTGATACAAACAGATACAACTAAAATTGCTTGTTTTTACTTGGGGTTAATCGTTGAACAATTACAATAATTTATATATTTAAAAAGATCAAACAACTAGAAATAGTTCATTTTTAACTTCTACTATGATGAGACAATCATTATTGGAATTACTTTCTGAAGTTTTCTCATCAACAGAATAAATCAAAATAAACGTCGTTCTGTAGATTATAAGTATAATCTGTAAGATTAAATTTAAGTTTCACTAAAAGATGTAATAAATAACCTAATGAAAACAAAAATACAATAACGTAAAACCAATTAAATAAAATTACTAGATTCAAGCGGTTAGAATTGATAACAAAAATGAAGCAAAAGTTAAAAGAAGAAAAAATATCGTAGATTTAAAAAAAAGGAATGAAAGAAAGAGAAATAAATAATAATATGTTCAACATTTGACTATCATAGACTGTTCGTTTTGAGCTATATTGGCAGATGTGGATTACCAGGTTCGAGTCTGTGTGATAATGGTAATCAGTGGTTGAAGGCTATAGATGACATGGCTCAGAATTTTTCACAACAAAGTAGATGCATTTACTGTATGTCTTCCTCTAGATCTTGAATTCCTACGTTACTTAATACATAATCATTTTACTAACTTTTAGAACCTTATTTCCTATGTTCCGTATATCTAATTATCATAGATACTACATTATTTCGATCCATTTTGATATTCTTTCGTTATATTGATGTTGTACAGCAACCTGGACAAACACACACCTGTTCCAGGCTCAACGCTGATGATGATTAACTGACTGTTGAACATTTAGAGGATAGTAAAAAGTGGAAGTATTTACGTTGTTATGATAGTTTTAAAAACCTCTCATCTATGGCCTTCAACTAACAAAATTTATTATCTCTAAAACTCAATTCGTTTGGTAAAATTAACTAGACATGGGATTAAAAGTTAAATTACTAAATATGGTTATAATAATAATAATAATACATGTACTTACCTTGTACATACAACATTTTTCCATTAAGAGGGTGGAGAGACAATGCTGTGATTGGACTGCTTGTTAGACGTGACATTTTCACTGGAGCTAAATGATTATACTGAGGCGAATAAACCAAATCATTAAGACTACTTAGATTGTAATAGCCTACATAACCTGAATATAAAAAGATAATTCAAAAGGTCGGTATAGATATGATAAATAGTACAGGTAATGAGTGAATCAGCCACGATGATGAGTCTTAAAACTAATGCTTAGGGTTTTGATGGTAAATGCTTTCTTCCAAGTTGTCACATTTGAATTATTCCACCAAGAACTCATAAAATTTGAAGAAATACCCAAAATTACGGTGCACTAATGAACTGTAGTCACAACAATTCGGGATTTCTTCAACACCAGGAACCCATAAAATTATCATATACAGCTCTAGGACATCGGTAGATATAACTTGCACCATAGGAGCAGTTGAATTGATCGACAAAATGAGGGTGACTAGTCTAGGCAATTTGTTTCGTTTATCTCGGTGTGATGCAGGGGAAACCTCAGGCAAAATAAGTACATACTCATTTTAGTTATAAGACGACCTAATCTAGCTAATGTATATAAAACATTTCTGTTTTCATAACTTGGATTTATCTTGTTCAAATATCATTGTTATCATATACAAACATTTATATTGTTATTAATGATCCCATAAACATATGAAGATTTTAATCAATATTCATTTCACGTACTATTTCTAACTGAATACATATCACTCCATAAACTAAGTAGTCTTCGATCAAACACTTGATTTGATTTGTAGTGACAGTATTATATCTCACCGGGTTACTTATATTTATATAAATTATTAATTGTTATTTTTTTTATTTGGACACATAAACATTGATACAAAGGGGCACCAAATACATGTGCGTCACACAAGTCACTTGATTTTTGTGTGGGCTGTGATGCTGATCGGGTGTCCAGATCGAAGCAATTGGTTGTCCTAGACAACCACACCCGGAATCTTCGACCTAAAGGTCTGATCCACAATGCAGTGGAGCAACGTCAGGAGATTCAGTCCCATGGTAGCCAGTGACCACCAATAGGTCCATACATCATTTGTTCCTTCAGGGTCCTGGGGCCCTTGTGCACCATTGATTTGGAATCAGGGTTTTTCCAACTCCCGTAGGTGAACCCTCCGTATCCACCAACCCGGTTAAAGCGCTGGACATTTGCTTTTTGTTCTCTTAATTTCGTAAACAGCACCTCCGCAGCAACAATTCAGTGAGTAGGACTTCCGTGTGAGTGGCTGTATACACGTGGCCATGGGAGAGCATTTCGAGAGGGAGAACTAACTCTCCCCACAGTTTTGATTGACTTCTTAACTAATTCAAGTTAACATCACATCCTGGTCATTTAAGGATTAACAATTCAATTTGATTTTACACTTTTAGATTTAGATGTAACTTTTGAATGATGTATGTATTTGTCAAATGTGAGGATTTTATGAAATATTAATTTGGACTGATAACTGCAGAACCTTATGACAATTTGCCGAAAAAAAATTCTTTATTCATATACTTGTAGCGTAATATAATAGTACGTTTTAAACAGTTGAATACTGAATAATTCACGTGTAAATCACAAACGTAAGTTAGGATTAACAGTTAAATGGTTGATACATATGAACTTTAGTCTTAACTACAATTTTTCTATTTAATAATTGTTAATACGCTTTACAAAGTTTGATGGTAAATTATTCTAGAAAAATAAGTATCAGAGTTTAATTTCAAAGACAAGGGAGTATATAACTGACAAATTATCTACATTACTTATTACGTTTACACTATGAACTGAGGTCTTGGATTTGAGCTCATAAGTAAATTATGGTGTGCGGTACAGAGGATCTGCGCGATAGAATAAAATAGCTATCCAGTGCTTTTTGATCATTAATAGTTCTGTAATTAATATCAGGTGATAATAAAAACCACTCTCAAAGAGTATATTAACCAAATATAAAAAGTTTAGTGAAATGATTTTCGTGAAGGTAAAGTACTAAAGTATGAAAAGTTATGGTTAAAGAAGTAATCAAGAGTAAATTTCTCGTCTAAAATACAATATTTGGAAGTGATAAGTATAAATCATCGATAAATACCTCTGTCTCAAAGAGACAGCATGTTAATACTAGCCTGCTCTCTCAAGTTTATAGAAAGCATAGCCCACTTCAAGTGTAGGCAGTTGGAAATGGTATCTAAATGGCTTCAAACGTTTTGGTCACACCGTTAAGTCACGGATTTCATTACTAAAACAGAATCAGTCGTCCTAAACTAGTAAACATCTTTATTATGCCTGGCAAAATATGTACTTTATCAATTTGCTAGACGATTACATTTACTAAAATAGAATATGATATCGCATAAGAATCACTTTCTTACCTGTGGTATAACCAACAAAAAGGCGATCTGGGAATTCACGGCGAATATGCGTACACGTTGGCCAACCAACCCAATGAGGATGTCCTGTGAAATTAAAGGAATCAAACTGCTCTATGTACACATAAATTAAATTCATATTAACATATCTGACACAAGTTAAATGAACTGACGAACAAAGTTAATCAAATTAACTAACCATCAGGACTTATTACTATATTGTTATTGAGTGCTTGAAAACCGTTGCTGCAAATTATACATATATGTATCGTACGTTACGCACATTCAGCAACTATCTGCCAAGTCTTTCGATGTCTGGACTTTAGTTTAAGAAAATACTGACTGACTAGACTAAAGTATAGCAGTGTCTAACTATTAGTCTAGACGATGTAGGCTTCTGCAAAACAATTGAAACCAACAGTCGAAACCCTTTACTAACTTTGTACTGCGAAAAAATGTTATGGTACAGCGAAGACTCCACTTATCTCACTTTAAACCTTTAACATCACGTGACGAAATGTCATTCACTGTAAACTGTTTTTTCTCTCATCTGTTAAATATTACTGATATCGTGTGTCAACGTTCTTTCTTAGCAATCACCCATTATTGAGCTGATATGAAATGTGGCAACTTGGAGTGCTACGGTGTTTCAGATTCTATGTTTTCTTTGTCAGTGAAAAAGATCCACCAAAAATTAATTTTCATTTTTATGTCTTACTCTCTAGTGTTTAACGCAGAAATGGATCTCGCCATTATATGATTCACACTGTCACTTTTGCATCCGCCTAAATATAACGTAGCCCCCAAATGCCCTGGTATGGCCGAGATCTGGGTGGGTTCGCCCTCCCTCTCGAAATGCTCTCACACGGCCACGTGTATACAGCCTCTGCCAAGGAAGTCCTACTCACTGACTTCTCGTGGCGGGAGTGTTGTTTACGGAAATGAGAAGACGAAAAGCGAACGTTCGGCGCTTTAACCGGATCCCAAATCAATGATGCACATGGGCCCCAGTACTCTGAGGGAATAAATGGCGTATGAACCAATCGTTGGCCTCCGGCTACCATGGGACTGCATCTCTTCACGATCCTCCACTGCCTTGTGGGTTAGACCTTTAGGTCAAAGGCTCGGGGTGTGGCCCCCTAAAACAACTACCTGCTTCGGTCTGGGCACCCGGGCAGTATCACCGCCCACACACAAATGATGAACTGTCTATAATTATGGAAACTACTTTTCTTGCTTCAACTAACAATCAAATGATTCAAATTATTATTATTATTAATTAATCAATTAGTTAATTACTACATCATTATTCTTCCTCTTTTATTCCTACTCTGTCTATACTTATTTTTCGACTTATAAAGCAGCTCGTCTTTGGTGGAAATTCGACTCTATCTAAACGCTCTCGAGTCACTGTCCGGTTGAAAATTGTGTTGCCACCGAATATGAGTACTGGAGCAGTTTTTCTGAAACCACGTGCACCATTCAAACTGGCTGCCTTCAACGTTCGCACACTTATGCAGGTCGAACAACAGATAGGGCTGACTATGTCTTTAGAAAGTCTTAATATCGATGTTTGTTGTCTATCCGAGACCCGTATTCAAGACTCTGGCGAAGTACTACAAATTCGCTCTCCATCTTTCGCTTCAAAAAGCTTGTTTTACGTGCGTTTATCGGGAGACCCTGTGGCATCTTCGTCTGGTCTTGCTGGCGTTGGTGTCGCACTAAGCGCTAGAGCTGAGGCACCACTAATCGATTGGATCCCAATTAACAGTCGGTTATGTGCTGTTAGATTAGAAAGTTCCATCAAAGTGAGAAGAAATCGGCGTGAGAAACGATGTCTTTTCGTCATCTCCGCCCATGCCCCGACAGATTGCAGCCCGGATGCAATCAAGGATGAATTCTACCACCAGTTAACTGTTTTTCTCCAGAAAGTGAGTTCGACAGATATTGTAGTACTAGCCGGGGACTTGAATGCTCAGGTCGGGCGTCTAGGCACAGAAAAGAATCGTTTAGGTGGCCGATGGAAACTTGTTGGTCGCAGAACAGATAACGGGGACTGTCTACTGCAACTGTGCACAGACCACAACCTGTTTCTGGCTAGCACTAACTTCCGGCACAGTCATCGCCGATGTGCCACCTGGCGTCCTCTCTCTGCATCTCAAGCCTGGACTCAGATTGATCATATCGCGATCAGCTACCGCTGGCGTGGTTGTGTACAAGACTGCCGCTCCTTTTGGAGTACCTATTTGGACTCTGACCATGCCTTGGTCTGCGCAAATCTTACCTTACTTTTCAGTGGACAACGAAGTAACCACCACCAACGGATTGATGTTAGGGAGCTGGTTGCAACTTCTGTTGCTGGTAAGTATCGAACCGAGCTAGCTTCTAGGCTGGCTACCATTCCACCGAATAGTATAGATGAGGATTGGTTGCAATTGCATGACGCCATGAAGATGGCGGGTACAGTCAGTTGTGGGTTCGCGAAACGTCCCGCTTATAAGCACTGGGTTTCTTCTGGTTCCTTACAACTCATCGACGCTCGTCGGTCTACTCCGAGTGACCGTGAGTTTGACCACAAACGAAGGATGTTACGTAATGAAATTGGGCAAAGCTTGTGTAAGGACCGAGAAGCCTGGTGGTCGGAGCGTGCTAATGAGCTGGAAGCAGCAGCTGCATCTGGTATTAACCGGAGGCTCTTCCACTGGCAGCAAGAAGTCTGGAGTGAGCGAAACAATCTGCGAGGATGACGGGATGCCAATCACTAACATTCATCGACGTCTTGGACGATGGGCAGAATTCTTCGAAGGGCAGTTCAACTGGCCTGCTGCTCCGGCAACATCGATCGAACTGTCCTGCCCTCCATGGCCGGTGACGACTGATCCACCAAATGAAGCGGAAGTCCTCAAGAAACTCCAACTCTTGAAGCACTACAAATCACCTGGTCCAGACGACTTACCTCCGGCTCTTTTTAAAGATGGTGGTGATTTTCTGACTAAGGAACTGACGACGTTGTTTACAAAGGTCTGGGAGCTCGAGAGTGTGCCAACGTCATGGAATGAGCCGATAGTTGTCCCTATCTTTGAAAAAAATTCACTTTGTTCGGATGTTAGACGACTCTCTGTGTTCGGTCATCGCTGTCTCCGAAGTATTGCTGACATCCAGTGGCAACACCATGTTAGTAATGCAGAGGTTCGGCATCGTGTGTTCGGGCACAGAGATGATAATTCAATTGGTGTCACCATCTTCAAACATCGACTTCGGTGGCTTGGACATGTTCTACGAATGTCGTCCAAGCGAATTCCACGTCGTTCACTATTTACCGACGCTGGGACTGGTTGGAAGAAGCGGAGAGGTGGTCAGTATATGACATGGTGTCGTGGCATGAAAGAGCGCTGCAAAAGACTGACTTGTGTTGATCCTTCACGACTCCCTGACTGGAGTCCGAGAGATGGTGCAACACAGTGGCTAGAGACGTTATCAGATATGGCTCAGAATAGAAGCCAGTGGCGATCCTGCTGTAACCTTCTTTTACTTTCTTCGTAAAAAGTGGTTGTTTCTTCCTTAACTGAAAGATTTCTTCTGATTGTACCTTTCCGTTTCCCCCATTATTATTATTATTATTATTATTATTATTATTATTATTACACTACCTTACACTAATCTGTTCGTTATTGTTCTTTTTTTCTCTTCGAATCCTCATTGTTTTGTGTGGCGCATATATATTGGTGCCCTCTTATACCAATATTTATGTGTTCAAATAAATTAATAAAAACGTTGGGTTACGGATTTGAACATTATAATAGACATAGGCCTTTCCAGCCCAGGAACGTCAGTGTTTCTAAACACTATGGTATTTAGTACTTGAATTTCTTGCATTCCGATAATGTTCTTTCCAATCTATACGAACTGATGCCCTTAATTTTTTCGACATCCAGTCTATTTACTGTAATAAATCAACCTCAAAATGAAAGCGTCTCAGCTTAAATAATCTAACTGAGTATCAGCAGTAAACAAGGCTACGTGGATTTGATAAGGTGACAAATAAGTGATTTCGCTGATTTGGAATAATGTGTAAAACAAATTATTGAGTTGATACAATTCCTAATGAAAGTCAATACATCTAAATGGATTAGATGATGAAAAATAACATAATACAACCTAGTCATAAAAGAATCCTCGACGGTATTTGAAAATTTAAATTATCAGGTATCATCAGTATGGGATTATGGAGATTGTTGAGATCATGAATCGATCAATGGTAATCTATCATTGATCGATTCATGATCTTTATCAGAAATCAATATTTATCAGTAAGCCCGTGAAGACGGTTTCTATTTTGATAAATCATCTACACTACACCTAATTAAAATAACAGTCAATTATTCGAATAAACGATACCTTTCACAGATGGGGATAGTGTGAGGTAACAATTTTTCGAAAGTGTATAAGCGAATTGTGAAGCAGATGAATTCTCGAACCCAAAATTCATTGGACAAGTTGGTATAGATAATATACGAATAAAGCCATCTTGACAAGCAACAATTAAATGACCAAGAACTCGATCTACTTCGGGAATAGTTATTATGCATGATCCATACGAACAAGCCTTTGTCACTAGTTCTTTAATGCCCGAAAAAGGTGAAACTGGTATCCAGCACATATCAGTAATTCGACCCCAATCATGTGAAATGATAAAGTGAATTTCAGGGTTTAAAGTACTTGACCTAATATTGAATAGAATTAGTCAAAAATGAGTGGATATTGAAGCCAATAGACAAAGTGATCAACATCGAAAATGAACATACGTACACTACTGAGAAATAGTTCCTCTTACTCTATCGAACTAAAGTTGAGTGAAATCTAAACAGTAACTGATGTATAATGATATCTTGTAAAATAACTGATTTTTTGTATGCCCACGAGTATGAAAAGTCAATATCATTTCATCATCTAAGATAGCATAAACTCACATCATTACGAATACTTGCATTTTTGAGTATTGTACCACATAATGTATAAAAGTATTCAACATCAATCACACGATAACAAACTGTTTCGTCTTGAAAGTGCTTCGAATGATACTTAAAGATGATCGGCCTTACAATCACGACTATCAAATTGTTATCACTGACAATATTATACTATTTTATTCAAACAAGTCAATGCATCCGACATAACCAAAGAATGGATTAATACCAAAATCCTGGAAAATGAAACGACCCACTAATAGTGAGAAATTCCCTTTATCATTTAGCTTTTCATAGTGTAACTGATGTATGCAGTTTAAATACCAAAAAGTTAAAATCTTTCACATAATATTATAAGTTTAACAAAAACTCCCGGTTGGTGTCATACATAAGGTACAACTCGATGACTTAAGACGCTGACGGACATAACTCAAAGTCAGAGCCAAAGATTGTCCTACTGTACTTCCTTTACATTCTTCTTAAAAGTGAAAGGAACTTCTCTAACTGAGAAAAAATCTTCTCGGTTGTGCTTTTAAGTGAACTTCATCTCCAAGCATACACTTCTCAACTACCTATTTCTTAGTTATTTTTGTTTGTACTACTTTCCCCCAATCTATCTTCTCACAACTTTGTTTCATTATTTGTGTGGTTTGTACTTATTTTTGTGCCCACCTGTATCCATATTTATTTATGAAATAAGTAAACTGACAAGTGGTAAAGACTAAAACAATTGGGACAGGAAATTGAGATTTACATCTATTATGATTTTTAATGAAAGTCTGTCACTCGCATCAGTGAATACTTTCATAAAAACTTGGCTGCAGTACCTGTGCAGATTCGCCATACATACACTGCTGCAATAACAGAAGACCTTCAAAATCAATGTCCTTATATTAATAGCATTATTACCATAGTATATTTTTTCTATTCATGTGCATAAAAAAAAAGTTTAATTCAATGAAATTATCGAATGAACTCCTATTAAAAAGTAAACTTACACTTCTGTTAGACCTAAAACCCCACAATTCCATATCTGTATTAATCCAGGACAACTAGCCATCTTATCAGAATAAAGCGTTTGTGAATCTGGTGTTAGAATAGAAGAAGTCGCAAGAAACGAACATTCATTTACAATTGATTCAGAATCCAGAAGTGAAGAAAGACGAGGAGGACACCATGACAAACAAGTTACTGCTCCACCAGTATATACTAAATTTGAACCTAAAATCTATTTATTATGCTGTTTAGCAACATACCCTTGTCAAATTCGAACCGTTTTAATTTAACTGTATTTACTTCGTCAGATAAATATATAGGGCTGATGGGAGGCTCTGGAAGGTGATCCTTTTTGATACTATAATGTTGGTTCATTGGAAACAAGTAACTTACTAAATAGGTGATCGTACCCACGCACCCGAGGTTGGAAATAAAGCCTTTTTCCGACACATAAACTGTGACTTATATCCACTAGTAAAAAGTATGACAATTAAGCGATTATTACCTGGGACAAAACAGGAATGGATTTTGCGTATTACTGAACATATGTTTTAGTGAATCTATTGACTGCAGAAATTTCGCAGGAGCTACAGATCTGGGATCACGATCAATATGACCACGACAAGACCTCATATATCTTACGAAAGGAGATCTCAAACATCCTTTGTCACTCAAAACAGGACGATGAGCTTTACTTGATGATTTTTTACGACATGGTTCATCAATAAACGAGCCTGTTGACGACGAATTTTCTGATGAGAGTTTGGCATCGTTAGATATCTCAGCTTTATCTGCACTATTCGAATCACTCTCTTCGGTAGTGATATTATTGTCCCCACTTTCGACAACATAGTCTGACATCTCACTTTCAATATTTTCAGTTATTGAGCTATCATCAGAGTTCTGGAGAGCAGTAAGTCCACATATGGCCTTGAGACAAGCTTTGGCAGATGCTCGACGGGGCTTTGTAGTAGCTGTCATACTTGCACATTCAACCTTGGTGTTTAATAAATTTGTACCCGCAGACTAAATTAGATTTTGTGGACTGTCCGAAGTTAAGCAGACTTCCTCAGATTGTTATATGCAATTATACCAACAGTTTGTAATCCTTTTATATCTTGGAGGGAGGTAAATAATAAAACTGTTTAACGATAAGTAACTAATGGAAATTTTTAAAAATAATGATATAAATATTATCATGGTCAGTCAGTCAGCTACAACGTAGGACCAGGCACATATATGCATCGGTCCAAGTTGTCATACCTCATTAACACAACAAGATGGACACCGGATTAATAAAAGTAGTTAGTTCAGAGGTGGTAATATATAAAAGAAAGATTGCAATAAGAATATAGTACAGGAAGAAAGAATTAGTTAGTAGAAAGAAAGATTTGAAGCGATTTTAATCTTTTAGTTTAAGGGAAGACAGGGAGTGTATACACCGACACCATTGTGATCGATTCTGAGCCATGTCACACAGAGTCTCCAACCATCGGTTACGAAAGTCACGTGGACCCCAACCAAGTAGTCTGCATCTACCAACATGGCTCAGACTAGAGGTTAGTGCCTTCAAGCACTGATGCCACGTTTTGGTTTGGCCGCCCCTAATTCCCTTCCAACCATCTCTAACACCCGTTAGCATTGCATGACGTGGTAATCGGTGTTCAGGCATTTGTAACACGTGGCCCAACAATCTCAGTCGATGACGATTCATAACCTCATCAACTGATTTACCATCATTCCCCAATACCCTGCGTCTAACCTCACGGCGAGACTCTAATTTAGCGACGAGCCAATCAGAAGCGTTTGAGCGATTTCAAGGTCACGGAGCCAAGTTCTGCACGCGATGCTAACATACGGTCGGTTCATAGCGGATTTTAGAGAGGAGGTGATTAATGAGAAGTTAAAACAGCTGGGAGGGCGAAACTCTAATTTAGGGACGAGCCAATGAGAAGCGTTTGAGCAATTTCAATTATTAGCAAATCAAAGACAGTATAAAGTAAAAATATATTACAAGAAAGTAATGAGTTACAGTGGATACTCTTCTTTCACATGATTTAAAAACTTGTTGAGGTTTGATAAAGGCTCAGAAGTTCTGAATTCATAATGCATATTGTATAGAAACTCGTCCATAGGGTTAGGGTTTGGGGTTAAGGTTAGGGTTAAGGGTTAAGGTTAGGGTTTGGGGTTAAGGTTGTAAACTGATCGCATGTTAGCACCCTAACTCAACCTTAACCCTAACTCCTAACTTTAACCCTAACCCTAGGCTACAACCTTAACCACTAACCCTATGAACGAGTTTCTATACCATATGCATTATGAATTCAGAGCCTCTGAACATTTATCAAACCTTAACAAGTTTTTAAATCATGTAAAAGAAGAATATCCACTGTAATTCATTACTTACAATATATTCTCACTTTATACTGTCTTCTGATTGGCTTAAGATTCGTTCAAAGGTCGTCGCTAAATTAGAGTGTCGCCACTAGTAGCTTACGAGTGTCTTCTACTCTTAATGGCCATGTTTCGCTGCCATAAAATAAAACAGAACGGACTGGCGCGCATTATCCTGGTCTCCATGTTTTGTAATGCACATAATGCGAGAAATCCTCTGGCCACAAAAATTAACGAATATGGAGAACCGCTGAACACCCCTAGTTCCGGAGCCAAATTTTAAAATGATAGAGGTCAACTAGTAGCGCTAAATGTGTCCCATATAGATCGTGTCGTCATCCAAAGTAGCATTTTGTGCACTTAACAACTGGAGTGCATATAAACAATATTGAAGCTATGTGGTCGATGCTGAAAGTTTTTGAGACTTTATCATGGCTCCGGAGTCCGACTATTTTGTGGCCATATGGATGATTCCCTCTACTGTATGCATTAGGATTTTAGAGCTTCTGAACCTATTTCTAACCTTGGAAAGTTTTTGAACCATGTATAAGTGTATCCATTTTATTTGCTTGGTTTTGTTTAATATATTTTTACTCTATAGTGACTGTGTGCTGATTGACTGATATTTCGCAAGGCCACTTAAGATTCGTTCAAAGGTCGTTCATAAATCAGTCTCGCCCCTCTTATTAAGTTTGCAGAGAGATAAGATATTCAGTATTATACAAACCGTAAAGAACAACACAAATTTCTTGGTTTACACTTACCAATTTGTACAAGTGAGTTGTGTAAGTCATGAATACCTTCCCCCTGAGAAATGTTGCCTACCAGGAGCAAGAAGCCCACAGTACTGCGCAGGACGGGCGAAAAGCAGAGCTGACCTTGAACAAATTCAAAATGTCGCCAGTTTTACCTCAATCTTCAAACTTTAGCCTTCAGAAATGAGAATGTGATATTAAGAGATTTATAAAATACTTGATACTTGCGGTACTATGAAGGTTCAATCATTCTTTCAATGTATTGACTGGAGGCGCTGATATTTAGTGCTAGAGGATGCGAGTAATTCACGACTCAATGAGAGGAATGAAAATGCAAACGAAGATGATTATATCTCGGTCCTCGAAGTTCGTGTCAATAAGCTCCCAGGTGGGCTGATCTAGGTAAAAAATAAAACATGGTAATGACAAAATTAAATTGTTATCCAGTATAGTACTTCGAGTGCAATGTCACTGGACCCTAGACAAATCATCCGAAAGTCGGGTCACTGAATGTCGACCAGTTCACCGATCCTCTCTAAGTTCAAGGACAACTAACAAGCATAAATTTATTGCATGCCGCTAACTGACCCGTGCAGCAGTAATCACACACCGTTCTTTGAACCTACACTTACTGATATCTGTAGTGACGCCCTTTGTGTTGTACGATCATTGATGTATCCATTGCATGCGGATACGACGAAAGAGCAATCAGCGTCAGCTACTAACTGTGAGGTGTGCCTTCAGTGCTATCCGGTCGGTCATGCCATTCCCATTCTACACGATTAATTCCATATTTGTTGGGCACATATACGTTGTGGATCGACAGGATCATCTCGTAACTAATGGTCAGACAACGAAGTTCAAGTGTTACAGTTTATCCCCTAATTCAAGGCCAGAAAGCCTTTTCACCAAGCGACACATCGAGAGTTCATTGCTCTTCGCAAAATTGTGTATGTTTTTCAAATGTTATTATGTTGTTTTTGTGTTCCCAGATATTTTTGGCATATTTATAGATTCAGTTCTTCTTATGCACACATACATCCAGAGTTTTAGGGATCGAAACTCTATTAGTAATTTATTCTTCTATAGACCGAAGGTACAGAAGCCTTGTCCTGCTATGCAATGGATGGCTTCCACGAGTATGATATGACTGACCCACGTGCTCAGTTCCTCGGAGAAGTGAAAACACCATCGCGCCAGTAAAACGGACACGTTACATTTGCCAAATCTACTGATGATGTTTCTGAGCTTTATGACATCTTTAAAAGGAACGTCTTTAAACATGACGATTAAATCTATGGACAAAGGTTAGGCCAACTCTTTCACGATATCGAATCGTCATACAGCTCGGCAACAGAATTGTTTCTACATTTGCTGGAAGTTGCAACAACCTAGGTTGACTGGTTAGGATTCGAACAGAAACATCAAAGTAATTGTCACAACAATAAAGCTTAGGTGAAGCGACCGAACAACCAATATTCGGTTGGAACAACGGACTGACGAACCCAAAATTTATTCAATTAGACCAGACCACGTTCCTCTATATAGCTCACAACGCGTTTTTGAGATACTCGTATTATATTATATCAAAACGCGAACTATGTGCTCAACATAAACGGTTCTAATTTAGAAAACAGAACAAATTACATCAGAAATACAAAATACCTTAAACGGTACAGCCTTTCCTATACAGTCAGAAGTTTTTGTAACGCAAAGTAGCGCGCTAAACAATAAAAGAGATAGTTAATACTAAAGGGTTTGGTACCTGAGAATCAATACAAATATTACCAACAGGGGATTCCAACAGTCCTCTCAAGCAGACAGTCAGAAGGTTAACAGTCACATACTGTACCACGCCGTGACCTTGAGCTTGGTTAAACATGACCTTACTGTCAATGGTCCGGCATCATGCAACAGAAAATTAGGTAACGAAAGATAAGTCTTCAATCAAAATCAAATAATAAAGGCCCAAACGAGGAAGACTGAAGAACAAAAGATATGGTTAAACGAGATTGGAACAAAGGTTAAAATACACAACAGGGAGAAGGAACAAATAAATGACAATACTGTTCAACAAAGAAACTGCAGAGGGATTTTCATCATTCTCTTTCCGTTACATTAGGTACTCAATCATTTCCTTATTTTCCATGGACATTATATTCCCCATTGTTTTACGTTGAATTTTGAGAAGCTTTGTGTAACCTGACACAACTCCGCCTTCCGGGGCTTAAAGATAAAGACCTACCCACTACTAATCTGGTTTCTTATATCGGCAGTACGAGGGGTACTCAGCAGAACGAAACGAACGGGCCTCACCCCAAACATGAAAATTAATTTCTGTAGTGAAGATAAAACTTTTAATTATCTTCAACATAAAATTCGTATACACAAGTATATATATGAATATTGTCTTTTATTGAAAAGTATTCGTGTTGCAGTCATTGTTTTACCCAGTTCATATCATATTATTATATAAGTAACGTACATATGTCGGATCAAATCTAAACGAAAAGACTGAGAAACAATTGTAATTAGTCACTGTCAGAGACAGACACTGTTATGGCTACGGACGTCTGACTCCCAGCATTCGATCCTAGTGATCGTGATTTGTGGTCCGCTCATGTACAGCATTATTTCACGGGAACTCATCAAATCTGAGGGAATTCGCTACCGAGATAAGTCATCTATCCCCCATCCAATCTTCAAAGAAGTCCGCGACCTGATTTTAAGTCCATCAACACCACAACCCTACGCCATTTTAAAACGAAAGATAACAAACCTTCTATCTTTACCAGACGCCCAAAGAATCCTTTGGATTTTCCGGGGAGAAAGATTAAGTAATAGGCCAACATCACAATTTTATGTCACTTCCAAGTGTTACTGGGCGACAACACATTGTGTGAAGTAATATTATTGATAATAATTTACTCCCAACTAACAGTCTGTTGCATGATGCATGCCAGTTTACAGGCAAGATCAATTTGTTACAGAAGATACAGCCTTCACTGGAGTGGGTTACTCAGTCAGGTTGATATTTTATAACGAACAACACCTCTCAAACATGAGTGCAAATAATATCAGTAATACTCGTATCGTCAATGTGATAGTTGGCACGCTTTATGGAGGTCGTGTTATGACGTGTGATTGGTGGTCGAAAATAAATCCACGTAAAGTTGGCAGCTTCTAGAAACCGAAATCTTATATCCCTCTGGAAGATCTGAGACATTAATGACAGCACAGGATAAAGTCACCAGTTCCACATGTATTTTCTGTGACATACTTCAAGGGATATGAAACGGAGGGTAGGAAGAAGAAAGGACAAGAAGCAGAACAGACAATGTTCATGCCTATTGTAATGAAGTCATTTTTGGTGAAATTGTTAAGGTATGACTACTCACTTTAATTCTCTTTTATTAGTATAAGTTTTAGGCAAGAGCATTCTAATAGGTTAATGCGAACAAGCGTCGATATAGTAAAAATGGACAAAGAACTGTATTAATGGACGTGGTGCAAAAAGAAGCCGAATGTATAGGATTATGTGTAGTTTTAAAATATAGTACTGAAAACAGTATTCTGACACATAAATAACTATCTCCCTTTTTTGTCCAAGCTATTTCAGTCCATTTTTCATTTTATTGACTTCACAGGATCATGAGCAGGCTTTGGTTTTAGCGGATTGTCTATTTGTGCCTATAGTGGGATTACTCGGTAGGGAGGAAAAACCAATTCAGGGGCATAGGAACGGGTCAAAGAGTTATTAGCCATAATATTTTATCATCAATACCATTGATTCATGAAATCCTACCAGATCATAAGGAGCCGTAACCTAACAAAATGTTCTGTTCTATAGACAAGGGTGGACTGAAGTCAACACTCCACCATCATGTTTACCGGTCAGTGATGCTATCCTCCTTTCTTTTGTGATGTCAGACTCTCTTACGTTTATGGTACTTATGAGTATTGCTCCAATTCAAACATCGTGCTGCTCATCCGCACTAGATCACGAGTGGGAACGCCGTGCTCAACAACCCCTGCAATCGCTAGCCAGATTAGATCAGACGATCCTCGAAATAGTGATAGCCTATCAAATATATCTTCGAGCCTCCTCGCTTTTGTCTTTTGATTTCACTTGGTGGGTACGACTCATATTAGAAGGTGTTACTGGTTAAAGCGTTGTTAAACTCCGAATACCTGCGACATCTTCACTGGTGAGCCTAACGTGATCTGGTACGCCAAATTACAAACTGTGAGTCTGTTCCTTTTTGGGAATTTATATATCATTACCTTATTTTAATTTTTTATACATTGTGATATTTTTTCCGTGTTTTGAATAGATATTTTGTTCATTCGTTCATTCCTGTACTTGATATTTCACTAGGACTTAACAGACACCCAACGTATTTAAACTAAAGACCATGTCCTCAACTTCGTTCCAACTGTTACAGGAGAACTGAAGACATTTGGCGGATTAAAACCTTTTTATTGTATATTAATAATTTACTGTGTTTTTGGATGTATTTGTTTTACTTAACTTTTGAACTTGTTTGTTTTTATCATTGTTTTCGGACATTTTGGTTTGTCTCTGGTTTGGTATTTGGGAGTTTTTGCTCCGGGAACCTACAAAATTGAAGGTTTGTTTTGTAATTGTTATAATTATTGTTGTTAGAACGACATTTGGTCGACTATTTGTGAATTGCGAATAAATTTGGTATCTGAATTGGAGTTTTGGTTCTGTTGTCAATTTGGGTTCGTAATTAGCAAGTAGATCGATAGTCCCTACTTTAATAACTGGAACGAGCAAAACGTGGGCGTAACACCAATTGATGTGCTTCTGGCCAGACAACATCGAAGCCTGGTTCTGTTACGCAGAAGCCGACATCTACGAGCACGCCGTGAACGACACACGTGCGAAATTCCTCTTAGTAGTCAAGGCACTACCGCGCGAATTCAACAGGTACGTAACAACTAGCATGTTTACTAGTGATGTTTCTGAACCCTACGAAACACTGAAACTATCTATCCTTAAACACGGAGACCTAACTGATCGACAAAGTTTAGACCAACTCCTTAATAACATCGACCTGCAACACGGTTCTGCGACACACATGTTGCAAAGAATGAGAGAGGTTATCGGCC